TGAAATAACTAACAATTATTTCAAAACTAGCCAGTTAGCCCATCATAAGAAAGGATTTTCAGATCTCTAACATGGCTACATTTCTATCACTAAATACAATGAAGCTGCTTTCCTGGGAGCCAGCTGAGTTTAACCAATACCATTAACTGATAAGCATCAGCTTATCAGTCTAAGGGTTAGTCAGTTAAACTCTAACATCCCTACTTTGCAGCCAACAAAGATCACAAATATACCGCTGGATGGAACTGGCGCTGTGATGACAGGGCCAAACTCTGAGCTGCTTGTTCAGTCCTTACCCACAGCTGGCTCCTGCACAACTCATGGGAGGTGTTGTTCAGTCCTTACCCACAGCTGGCTCATGCACAACTCTTGCTAAAGCCCATGGGAGGTCTGTCTCAGTGAAGTCTGGCCCTGATGCTGGCAAGCAGCTCTTTGAACTCCACATGCACCAGTTCTGAGTGAGAGCAGGAGAGCGAAGACGGAGGCTGAAGGCCGTCATTCCCATGAAAAGCCCTTCCCCCTCCATTAAGAATAGAGGAGGAAGGGTTTTCTGCATCCTGGGTGGTGACTGGGGCCACAGCACAACTGAGCCCCTCTGGAGCCAATTCCACTTTCCCAAGACATGGATTCTTTATGTCGGGCTCTGGATTTCAGAGCAACTGCAAATAAAACCTAATGAAACAAGCGCAGAAAAAGGACAAGTAGGTAATTAAAGGGAGGAGGAGAGTGATCCCCAAGGAGTGATGAAGGAAACAGTAACATTTAACTCAACCTTAATACAGCTAATGCTTTCACTTTTACATTTCTGACAAATGGCTAGATTTGGAGGAAAGTGAGTCTGGAGAGGCAAGGGAGAGCAAGAAAAGAGAAATAATGGAGAGGAACAGTGCTTAACCCTTTGTTCTCCTCCTCTCTACTGTCTTCTATAGAACCCTGCAGCTAGAGGACCACACATCTTCCTTTGTTTGCCCGGGCTTTAAAGATGGGTCCAATTCCAAAGATGAACCCTGGATCCACCCTACCCCTGGACTTTGTGTCTAAGGCCCATCGTGACTTACACTGTGAGATGTTTTTCTACTGCAGAGGTCTCCAACCTTTTTAACCACAAGATCACTTTTTCAATTTAAGTGCAATGTAAGAATCCATCTCCAAACCCAAATACCCTTGCCCCGCTTCTACTGGCCACGGTTCCCTATTACTGATCAATGGGAATTGCAGGAGTAATGTCTGCAGGCCAGGACACATGTGGAGACCCCCTGCTCTGCCTTTCTCGGGGGCTGCAAAGACATGCTAGCCACTTCCAGGAGAAGCAATTACCATTGGGATGATTACTCCAGCCACAAGTATTTTAGAACTCACCACTCAAAGAATTAAATTTAAGCGTAAGACAGAAATGAAAATTATGAAATGCACAAACCAGTCAGAAACCAAAACTGCCTGCACTCTGCTGGCAGTAACAGGAAGTAACAACAACCTCCTACATATGTGTTGGGTCGGGAGATGAAAGGGAAGGACAGTGTGTGTTTGTGAGAATGACAGACACACACAATGTGTGAGTGACAGAGATTTGCATTGTAAAGCTCCCTCCAACTCCTTCTCTTCTGTATGGAGGTAGGGTATAGAAGTGGGGGGAGGAGGGACACCCTGACAGCACCCCCCTCTTCTCCTTCCCACACTACACAGCAAGCAGGAGGCTCCTTGGGGTCAGCTCCAAGGCAGAGGGCAGGAGCAGCAGGGCAGTAGGTGGAGGGGAAACTTAAGTGCTAGTGCTTGATAGCTTCCTGGCCAAACCAGTCAGGATCACCTGTCAGAGGCTCCAAGATCCCGATCTACTGGTTGGTGACCACTGTTCTATTGCATTCACACATCACGTGGGGGCCCTGCTATTTCTTTGATTCCATTCAGTTAGGGCTCAGTGCATCCAATGGGAATCTTTCAACTGCGTATTGGATCTGGCCCCTGTCCCATAGCTACTGTCCCTATATGGCGCTATGTAAATAACAAAGAAGAGCTTATTAACGTAAGTTTTCCAAAGAGAGGATATCAAGCCACAAATTCCCAGCCAAACACAAGCTTTGGAGCTGTCCCTTGTGGATCTGGGTTTGGATTATGAACACCACAAAGTTTCCACATTCAGAGACCAAGACAACGAGAACTACGCAGAATAAGAAAATATGATGGTGGTTAAGGGCACTGGAGAAATGTAAGAAAAGAAGGCAAGAAGTAATGGCCAGAAGGAAGGGGAAAAATGGAGATACAGTCTGCGTTTCAGATACAGTCTGCGTTCTTGGACCCTCTACAGATCTGCTTGCCTTCTTATGCTATAATTCCATTCCCTGGATTGTTATACCAGCCTACAGAGAGAACTAGAAGCATTTTCTGAGATCACCTCCTGATTTTTTTCTTGGTGGCAAGCTCACTAGAATGCAGGGCACCCTGTGGTCTCTGGCTGCCGGCAGTGTCAGGTGTGGGCAGCCCTTTGTCAGCTCTGGTTCATGCCAGGCTGGCATCCTGGGCTTTGGGTCTGGAGTTTGAGAGATCCAATCCAAGTTCAGCCTGGCTTTCCCCCAAAGCGTTACACTGCTGTCACGAAGAGGAGCCAAGTTAGAGACTCATATTCCTCTCCTGACTCACAGAGTCAGGGTGAAAGGGTTAGCAATAAAGTTAGTCACGAGCAGTTATTATATCAGCTGTATGGTCTAATCTAGTCACCACAACACCTGAAATCTCGTTCTGGCCCTGAATTCCCTTTACTGGGTGGTCTCTGGCAAATCATTTGACTTTTCTGCATCTCAGTTCATCCATTTTTACTACGGCAATGCTCCTGACCTAGTTCACAGGAAGTTGTGATGATAAGTTAGTAGTTACTGTCTGTAAAGTTCTCTGGGAGTACAAAATACTATCTAAATCATCTCAGTGTTTGATTCCCTAAGACAGTTTTCCATTTCCTGGGCCTTTAGCCAGATTTTCCTGGACTTTAAAACAAAAGCTAGAAGTCTATGTTTGCAAAGGCAGAGATGTGACTTGGGGGACCCTTCCCATTAGAAAATCTTGCCCCACTCTCAGATCAGAACCCTGAGCTGGTTGTGCGTTATATTAAGCTTATTGTACACTTAGTTCAATAAACCATTTCCTCCAAAGGAATCCTCTCACTTTTACACTTTGAGAAAAGGTCCCTTACTCCCTACATGCCCCTCTCCCCCCAAGGAAAACAGATAATGTTACAAGTACAGGCAGTCCCCGACTTACGCGGATCCGACTTATGTCGGATCTGCACTTACGAACGGGGCTTTCTTGCCCCGGAGCTCGCAGGCAGCGGTCCGCCACCTCGACCTCCGGGGCGAGAAAAGCTGCTCCCGGTGCCCCTGGTCTGCTGGGGACCATCTCCAGCAGACCAGGGGCACCAGGAGCAAAGCTGCAGCAGTGGCGGGGGCCGCGGCC